AACGATAGGATGTCTATATTAAACTACGGAACGAGGATTCAAATACAAAACGTTAGATACAAAGGCAAATGCTCTAAGCTATTGTTGTTACCAACTTAATTTTCAATAATTATACATAGTATTCTCTTTTGGGGCTAATAAATTCTACCATGGGGAATTGGGAACACATATATTCTTTAGTGATTTTCTACAGTACTTCATTACATGAGAACTCTTGATGTTTTAATTGTTAAATTATTATTTAAAAATACAAAAAGTAAGATCTAACAATTGAAATATATGAAATATTTTATACTCTGGAATACCTTGGCTAAATTTTTTAATAAAGTTGTATGCATGGTTTTTCTAACTTTCTATCAAATCAGTCAAATGGAGAATATATGTCTTTCTGCTTATATGTCAAGATATGCATATCGTATCACCTGGTGCTGATGATTTCTTTATATATTCTCAATATTTCAGCAACTAGATCAACCAATTGGCTTCTCCTTTTTATCAAAAAATATACATAAGCTTTTGGTATGCAAAGCTGAAGCTGTTAAGGCCAATATCCAACTTGTGAGGAGGGACAGATGCATATGCAGAAAGAATAAATTAAAAGGGTGTTCTAATGCAAAAGCCATTGATGGACATGCAGCAGGACCATATAGAGGGCAACTTTATAGTAGAATAATGATCAGCACCATTGATAAGGATTCTAGATATAGCCATTCATCGGTCACATTTGCTATATTATGTCACCTTCTATATACCAAATAGTAGTAGTTTTTCGTCTCAACAAAGCGGGCGCTAGCTACTACGTATCGAGAAATTCTACTATACAACAATGTATGTCATACGTCAATTTTTCTAAGCCAATGACTAGGAATTTTACTATACAACAGTGTATGTCATACACCACTTTTTTTACACAAGTTTTACAAGGCCCGCTCCGTATTGTATTTCAGTGATCTGAACCGTCTATCTTTTAGAACATCATTGATAAAAGATTAGACAAATCCAAAATTATTAAGATTTGTAGTGAAGAAAATTGATGAATACGGTTCTACAAAGAAACCCTGACCCCTTAATCCAATGTCATATGGTTTCAGATTTCGGTGATTTTTGGTAGACATGAGCTTTAAGAAAAGACCTAAAAAATAGAGGATTTAGATTGCTGAAATACATTACAGAGTGAGTCCCGTAAAAACTGATTTGAAAAAAAATGATGTCACAAATCCGCCCCCAATATATACTTAAATTGTGCGCCTAATAGATGGTTTTGCTTGTTGAGAGGTCTATATCAAGGACTTTCTCTCCTCAAATAAAAATGGATGGAAGTTGGTTCTCCATTGCCCTCAGCAATGTCTAATCGAAACAACCTATATATTCGGTATCCAGTCCTTGGTCTTCGAAGAATCCATCGATCGAAACGCATCTGCCTGCGCCGGCGCATGATGACTATGGAAATGTGGAGACCAAAGGTGATGAGGCTCCAACTTGCAACTCAGGGCCACCAGAAAAAAGGAAAACTAGTACTGTCAAGTGTCTAAGCTTTTGAAATTGAAGGAAAGGCAGGCAGCAGGCATCCATGGATATAGATTAAATTCTTTCATCGATCGGACGTGGATTATGATAAGGATTCCAATCAAATATATATATATATATATAACATCAGAATTTCAAATATATATATACCTGAACAAAAAAAAGTTGAATGAGTCTTATTCAGTGCGCATATATGATATATCCAAAGCCAATGACTAGGAGCGCCTTTCAGTGTTTTTTTTCCCAAATTATAGCAGAAAGAGACAGCTGCAATTGCATCAAAAAGAAGATAAAAATACAAGTATACATTTTACATTACTTGATAAGATATTTTGGCTTATGTATGTAGTTTACAAAGGTTTTAATGTTTACTTAATTTTCCATAAAAATGAAAGATTATTGACTTCATTGAGAGTGATATAATAAGCCAAGAATCCAGGGTTTGAAACCCTCATTTAAAAAGGTGACCCCATGGCAACAAGGCTTCCCGCTTTGCGATGGTAGGAGGGAAACGTTTATCGTACGCACTCTTACCTTTACTATGCAAATAGACTGTTTTCACGACTCGAAACCCTCATTTGTAACAAAGAAAATGTATATACGCCTGTTTAGTATCCATCAGATTTGTTTTATCATGCGAGTGAGATCTCTTGAACTTAACTGATAGAAAGAAGAAATGTTTGCTTTCAAGACAGCTGCAGTACTGTAACAACTAGTTATCAGGAAATTGGATGCATAGTAATTTAGGCAACTATACTTGATCCAATTGTGCTAACTAAACTGGGAATTAGAATCATAATTCACTAACAACTATATATATATATAGGAAATTGTTATTAGCACTCCAAAAATCTCATTCTACACTTTTCACAAGTGTATTTTTCTTTGTAATTATAGAAAGTTTGAAGTGCCAAATGAGATTTTTGGAATGCTAATAACAATTCCTTATATATATATATGTGTATATATATAGATATATTCTGCACTGGACTTGTAAGTTGCAACTATTTTACCCCATGGCAGTGCTTGGCTATTTAGGTTGACACTAGCCCAGAAATATCATGATTCGGTGATTCTCAAAAATCAGCAATTGCCAACTGTCTTCGAGCTCGTTTGGATGTGCTTTTAAATTGACCGAAAACGCTTTTGGTGAAAATATTTTTGAAAACAATCCTTAGTAAAATGCTAATAAATCTTGAAAAAACATTTAAAGTGTTTTCTGGAAGAAGCACATAACCGGTGCTTTTTGTAAAAAACACTTAAAGTGTTTTTGGAACCCAAAAACATTTTATCTAAAAACACTTTCAGTCATTTTAAAAACATATCTAAACAAGCTCTTAATTACTGGTTTAGTAAGAGGAGAGTACAATGCATACAGCTATGCTTTGCTCTAAAAATAGTTGAAACGCACCAAATTCTGCAGAGTTTTCTGCATTACGGTCTCTAATTTTGTCAAAATTAAAAAGTTGACGAAGTTAAATTGTTTTTAAATTACAAGAGTTAAATCGCTAACCGAAACTATAAACGCTCAAATTACAAGGACTAATTAAAGTAGTAATCTGTGTTCTATTTATTTGGGGTGTAGAATAGTAGTACGGAATGAGAGATGTAGGAGGGTTGCTACACGAGATGAGCCAGCTAGAAATGTTTCGGAAGGTTGTTTGAAAGAGAACAACGACCAAACAACAGAGTAAATGGTGTGTTCGAGTTATTGAGGAAATCTGTCATTGGGGTTGCACTTTTTTTATTGGGTGGCAGAATGAGGCGATATCAAAACATATAAGTTTTATGGTTTTGTGATAAGTGTCTTACAAATGATACAATCAAGCATATCTTGCTCAGGTTTTTCATTTAGGGTTGAGACTTGAGATTGACCACAAAATGCATGTATAAAACGCTTGGAAAAAGATAGAGAGTGGAAAGTGATTTTTGTGTTTTACATCATAAAACTCGACATTAACACTTTTTTCGTGAATAAGATCAATTATCTGGACCTCATGTTTTCTGTTGTAGTGCACAAGTACTACTCTTGATAAATTAACTTAAGCTATAACTAAGTAATAATTACACACTTTTAGATATGGAAATTTGAAGTCACATTCTAGGTCATCTATAGATGTTGAAATTCTTTTTCTCTTGCTAGTTGCAGCAACATCTATACAGAAGTTCTAAAAATCATAAAAACTAACAAGAGATTTAGATCTATAAAAATGTTGATAATATTATATTAGCCTGTTTGAAAACTGACTTAAAAAAGGCACATCCCTAAATAACTGAAATTTTTACCCAAAAATGGGTGAGAGGAGTTTCGTCTTGCACGAAAATCATGCCAATTTGCATCCGGATTAAGTGCCCTCCAACCACAATCTATTGTCAGTTACAGTGATAGGAGAAGTTTTTGAGTGTGTCGGGTGAGAACATATGCCGATATACGAAGTGTTATAATACAACTAGTTGAAATCTTTTTTAAATTTTCAGCTAATTATTTTAATTGTTACACTTGGTGTAACAAATAGTGTTCACGACACATTGAAAAATCTCTCGATTGATAGACGTAAAAGTTTCATAACACTAATCAAACATTAAACAAGTTAGGCAATGGTTATTCATGCTTTCAATTTGTCATTGTATAATCTGAAATTAATATTTTACTATCTTAAAATAACCCTCACGGAAGAAATGCATGATAACGTACAAATTTAGAGTGTGAAGTGAATCTTGTTTTCCTAAACCCTAATTAATATCATTCACTTGAAACATTACAGCTAGGAGATCATTTGTCAGTGTATATAGAGAACACGTTCGGTACACAAATGTAATAATACAATTGATTGAAAACTTGAAGGAAAAAAAAAAAAAACAAATTTCCAACCAAATGTATTATTACACGTGTACCGAATCGTATTTTCGACACATTGAAAAAAATTTCTTACAACTAAAATGTAGAAACGGACAATGTATATACGAAGCTTACGAGAAGAAAAGTGCAAGAACACGAAGGAGAGTGGAATGAGGGCGATCATGTCACTTTTCTATTAGGTAAAACAAAGTCGGCCAGTATAATTTCTTGGGGGTTTAAACCCTAATATAGGAAAGAGTAATTATAACGAGACTAAATTTGTAGGACTAAATTTTGTAAACTAAATGATATGGAAAGTTGATGATTTGATTATTACTTAAACGTTGTAAACCGTGCTCATTTCCTTGGTGCACATCATTTAGTTTGTAAATTTAATCTCCCTAACATTACTTTGCAGAAAATATTACCTAGAAAGTTAAAATATCACGTACGTTATTACAAAGTTCAAAATCCTCCCCCATTGTTTTGCAAGTAAAGAAACAGCTGTGCAACCAAACCCAACCCGACCCGACCCCATCCCACCCCACCCACCTATCTCTTTCTCTCTCTACTCACACCTCTCTCTCTCTCTCTCTCTCTCTCTCTCTCTCTCTCTCTCTCCCTCCAGTATATAAGGAGCTAACACTGCCGGTCTCTTTGCTCATCAAACAATTATAAACCCTGCTTCCATTTGGCATTTTCAATCCTCTAGCTCCCAACAAGCATATTATCAGCTGTAGCTAGCGAAGTTCGGTTTACATCGATCAATGGCGTCGTCGGGATCGTGGACGGCGAGGCAAAACAAGTTGTTTGAGAATGCTCTGGCGGTTTACGACAAGGACACGCCGGAGAGGTGGTACAATCTCGCGAGGGCTGTGGGTGGGAAATCAGTGGAGGAAGTGAAGAGGCACTATCAGATGCTTGTAGAAGATGTGAACAAGATTGAGGCTGGTGAGGTGCCTTTGCCTAATTACAGAAAATCTGGTGGAGGAAACACTAAATCGTATTCCATGGATATTGAAGAACAGAGGTAAATTTATAATCTCTTTTAATTCCTGGAGCTGCATTCATTTATACAAAGGAAAATACTACACTTCTAAAAATTTGGTTACAGTTATTTACCCATATGTAAATATGTGGCACATATAATCTCACATCTGGGGCTTATAAATAGTTAAGCTAGTCTCTATATTGTCAATTTGTTTTATGATGGAACCTCAAATTTTAATAGTATCATAGCAGGTTGTCCTGTGTGTGCCACATGTGCTCCACGCCACCCGATTTGCATTGTCTTTATGCTAGGCTTGAAAATTCGTAACACGTGAGGGGGCGTGTTGAAAGTATAGATTTTGATATATTATCCAAATTGTTAAGTTCATCCATAAATCTTTTACATCAAAATAAATAAATAAAAAATTCGGTGGATTGGTATGAATTTATCACAGATGCAATTTTTTTCAGTTAGTATAGCTTCACAGCAAATCCCTCTAGAGCCCATACTTCCATTTCTCCTACCCGTTGTCCCCTTGCTTGGCCCTTCCTCTAAGGGGTTGTTGTGAAACAAGTGCATGATGTCCACTGCAACGTCCATGTATTTTATCGTATCAATCCCACATCGAAGAAATGATAGATCTTGCATGTGCTTATAAGTAATTGAGCTACTTTCCCATATTGTCAATTGATTTTATGGTAAAATCTCAACTTTCTTCGTAATTGAATCATACTTTAAATTTTGGTTATTTACATACCGTAGTTGTATCATGAAATTAAATAGTTTACTCATTCTTTATCTACATTCATTTTTTTTTCTTTTTCAAAGCAAATGCGTATGCATGAATCACCAACGTGGCGTAACAAATTCACATGTTATAACACATAGAATATTAACACATAAAACATGTGATATAACAATAACATGATCCCAAGCTGGAAAAAAGTTTTATATATTCAAAGAGATGAATGTTTCATGCTTTTCCCCCTATACCACAGATGATCTTAATTATGGTTTTCATGCAGGATGAAGACTTTAAGAATTCAGTGAAGGAGAGCAACCCAGATCAGTTCGTAAATGGGAATAAAGATTCTTAAGTTTCAACATAAAAGAAAATGCAGAACAGTCGAAGTAACAATATATATAGACGATAAGAGTCAAATGTGATTAGTTAATTTGTTGCGTTTTCCCCTTTAATTTTCCGAAAGTCATTATATTTTCCTTTCAGCTCCTTTAAGTGTACTAAGAAAAGGAAAAGAAACTCAGTTAATGACATGAATATAGAATATAGTTGCTTTTCATGGATCCGGATTCTTTCCTCTCTCCAGTCTCTTTCTATTTGAACCCTCATGATTAAGTCACGTTAACATTTTGTGTCTCTTTATAGAGAGAAAGACAGAGAAAAGTGAGAGATGAGGAGAGGAGAGAAGATTTGAAAGCGAAAGAATCTTACGTGAAAGAGATTCAGTCATAATCGTTGAAGGTGGGAGTATCAAATTAAACTAGTACTTTTCAAATGTTGGAAATAAGTGACACGATCATATATTCAAGTTTGAAATCTTGGTCGTCATCCCCCGCAATATAATTATATATCATATTCATGAGGGACTCCATGGCAGCTTCTTCATTTTGCTAACCAAATAATAAAACTCGCATGGAGTGACCCAACTGAAAGGCCAAATTATGATCGTGGTTTCTATTAAGAAGATTAAATTTGTAGATAAAATTTTGTAAACTAAATGATATGGAAGTTGACGATTGATTATTACTTACGCGTTGATAAACGAGTTTATTTCTTATTGACGATACATTATTTAGTTTGTAATTTGTCTATAAATTTAATCTCCCTAAAATTACTCAATTCCAGTGAAGTTCTTCTCTAATAGTCTATATAGTTTTAATTTTTGCAATTTCCTGCACGCAATTTACTAATTATTGCTAACATGTAAGTTGTTCTTCACTCGTAAAAAGTCCAACTCACTTTTATATTTGTTACTCGTCTGTTTATGCTGTTGGAAAAATAGTTGTATTATTATTACAAAGGTTAACAACGCTTTTGGTCAATGTGTTTATGATTAAAATCTATTTTGATCACTGTATTTTCAGATTAGCTAATAATTTGGGAGGTGCTAGCGACTTCCTCGTTGGCTTTTCTCCTAAATTTTCAATTTACGTGATAATTAGAAGCGTCTATTTTTTATTTGAACATCAACTATTTAAAAATTAATCAAATTAGAAAATTTTTAACTGTTCGACTAACGTTATAAAAAATATAATATTTAACTTAAAATATGATTGTATTAAAAAAAACTTAAAGCATGGTTGTATACTTTTTACTGATATGATCTTTAAAACCTAAACACAAAAAATAAACAATTTAAATTATTGTGTAATATTCGTAAACAAAATTAAAAGAAATAAAAAAAATAAAAACCAAAAAGATGAACAGGTTCAATGACTTTTCCCTAAAAGATGCATTTTCCCCTTTAATTTTCCGAAAGTCATTATATTTTCCTTTCAGCTCCTTTAAATGTACTAAGAAAAGGAAAAGAAACTCATGTTAATGACATGAACATAGAATATAGTTGCTTTTCATGGATCCGGATTCTTTCCTCTCTCTAGTCTCTTTCTATTTGAACCCTCACAATTAAGTCACGTCAACATCTTGTATCTCTTTATAGAGAGAGAAAGACATAAGAAAGTGAGAAAGGAGGAGAGGAGAGAAGATTTGAATGTGAGAAAATCTTACGTGAAGGAGATTCAGTCAGAACCGTCGAAGGTGGGAGTATCAAATTAAACCAGTACTTTTCAAATGTTGAAAGAAGTGACACGATCATATCTTCAAGTTTGAAATATTGGTCGTCATCCCCCGCAATATAATTATATATCACATTCATGAGTGACTCCATGGCAGCTTCTTCATTTTGATAACCAAATAATAAAACTCGCAAGGAGTGACCGCCCGAAGGGCCAAATTATGATCGTGGTCTCTATTAAGGAGATTAAATTTGTAGATAAAATTTTGTAAAATAAATGATGTGGAAGTTAACAATTGATTATTACTTAAATGTTGATAAACATGTTCATTTCTTATTGACGACACATTATTTAATTTGCAAATTATCTACAAACTTAATCTTCCCAGCATTACCCGATTCAAGTGAAGTTCTTCTCTAACAGTCTATATAATTTCTCTGAGATATTCTATGCTCTGACCTATAGCTTTAGTGGAGGAAAAACTTTTGCAAGTTAATAATTTGAGAGGTGCTAGCGAGTGGGGGTGGGCAAACGGGTCCTGGGCTTGCGGGTAAGGGCGGGTATTAGCTGTTCGGGGCGGCTACGAGGCGGGTCCTAATTTTAAAAAAGAGAAACGGGACGGGGTGGGGCAAGCCTTTGAAAGTTTAGGTTTAGGCCGGTTCCAAAAGTATAGAAAAACAGGTACCTAGACCGGCCCGTTTGCAAGAATACCCCCGTGTTGGGTACTTTCTCCCAAGCCCACTTCCTATTGTTCCTCCTCGCGACAGTTCTCACTCTTGAGAACTCTCCACACACACACCCTACTTCCCTATGTTTCCCCCTCATCCAATCTCTTGAACCTTCTCCTTCATTCCTTTTCTTTGTTTCTCCCCATCTCTGCAACTCTCATTCCCGGAGCACAGACACTCCCCACCCACACCCATACCCCACTAAGAAATGATATGCTGTTGCCGCCCTCCTCCCCCACCAACTCTTCTGTCTCCTCTTGCGATCTTGATACCGAGGTAACTCATTTCTTCCAATTTCGTCAATTTCTTAATTTTGATTTACAAAATTTGTGAAATTTTACATCGCAGGTTTGGTTTTTGGCACTCCTTGACTAGGATGAAGATGGTCTTGGTTGGCGGGTACTGCTTGAGTCCTTTAGCTGCAGGATCTCCACTTGGTTTGGGTATTGCTTGAGGACGCTCCAGTACATGGCGTAGATGTGCCCTGCCAGCCCCCCGCCACGTCGCTGAAGTCCTTGTACTCCGTCCACTCTCAGATTTGTTTTTGGGTTTTGCGTTCCAAGTTGAATCTAGCTCCGTTTGATCTTTAATTACAATCACATTTATATAGATATAGATATTAGATATATAGATATAGATAATGTAATTTTTTGTTGAATTGGTGTTGTGATTGATTGATTTGAAGAAAAAAAGATGAAAATTAAAAGTTCACCCTACTTCTGTCGAACTTGGTAGTTGATGGAATCGGCGAGCTCATCTTTTTGCTCTTCCTTCACAGCAGTAGCCATTGGAAGAGAACTCCGAGGAGTAAGACCCCCGCGCCATCCCAACGAGCTCATCGGGAGAGCTAAAGAAGAAGAGAACAAAACCCATGAGGGTCTTGATGTTGGAGAAGATCTGGAGGATGAGCGAAGGCGATCAAAACCAAGGAAAAAAAAAGAAAAAAGAAAAAGTAAGAGGACCCGTGGACCCGTCCCGAACCAAACGGGCCGAGTTAGGTCCGGTTCCAGTGATCAGATTTGCAATAACCGGCCCGACCCGTCCCATTTCCTTTTTAAGTAGGTCCAGTCCGGTTTCTCCAAATTTGGGTCCGGCCCAGCCCGTGCCCACCCCTACTAGCGAGTTCCTCGCTAGCTCTTCTACTAATTTTGCAATTTGTGTGATAATTAGAATTGTTTATTTTTTATTTGAACATCAACTATGCAAAAATTAATCAAATTAGAAATTTTTTAACCGTTCGATTAACGTTATAAAAAAAATATAGTATTTAACTTAAAAGATGATTGAATTAACAAAAAAACTGAAAGCATATTTGTACACTTTTTACTGAGATGATCTTTAAAACCTAAACACAAAAAATAAACGGTTTGAATGAGTGTGCAATATTCTTAAACAAAATTAAAAGAAATAAAAAAATAAAAACCAAAAAGATGAACACAAAGGTTCAATGACTTTTCCCTAAATAAAACGACCTGAATGTTAACCCTACTCGCCAAAAACGACCAATACAGAATCGTCGTACTTTGCAAAGACGGCATGGTAAAAAGGCGCCTAAACGAGTAAAGGGCGCGAAGAAAAAAGCCAAACGCCGCCACAATAACTCCTCCTTCCAAGCTCCAAAGTATCGGACTGACTCGCCGGCTGACTCAGCCATGGAAGCCGATTCATCTTCCTTCAAGGTACGCAACTCACTCTCCGTCTACAAGTAGTTTCTTTTTCGCATTGCTCAGCTCCAAATTTTGAACTAAAAGCTAGGGTTTCGATGCATTTCTGTTGCGACGAGTTCAAACACGAAACGTTGTCGTTCCCCTTCGGGTTGGTTGCAGCAGAAATAGAAGCTTTTAAATGGTGGACAACACTAGGAGGTGGTTGTGGACTTGTAGTGCTGGATATTAGGGCACTGTTTGGTTGCAGCTGCTTCTGCCAAACAGAGTATTTGTGTTGTTTTTAGTTTAATGTGAAAATTGTACTCATTTTTCCACTGAAGCTATGCTAATCTCGGAGATGATGTTAATGTTAATGTGTGATTATGCAGATAATCTTGGGATCGGCTTCGATAGCACGCCGGAAAATATTGGCTGAAATGGGATATGAATTCACAGTCGTGGTGCTACCAATTGTTCCTCTGAAATATATAAAAACTAATTTCCCTGCTCATTTTTTGAAATTGAACTCTCTTTATTGCTTAGACTGCAGACATTGACGAAAAATCCATCCGAACGGAAAAACCAGAGGAGTTGGTTTTGGTTCTTGCCAAGGCAAAGGTTTGGTGTTCCTCTCCTTTTTATTGTTTCCTATTGGGAATCTGACATAAATTCGAGGGTGAACTGCTGATGTAGTCCTTGAATTATCACCTAAGTGAAAATTAGGTTCCTGAATTATTTTTTGGGCACATTGAGTCCCTAAATTCATTAAAAACTGCTAATATCATCCCTACTATTATATTCAAAACTATTTTATCCAATTTTTCGTCAACATTGGTCTCTTGACACATTTTAGAGTGTCATACCGTTCTTTTTGCATCTATAAGCCCGTAACATTTCATATAGGTTGCCAATCTAACGTCTAATTTACCCTCCAAAGTTAACTCAATATTACCATTTCTCTATGTAAAATTACCAATCTACCCTCCAATGTGTATTACATGCAAGTAATGTGACTCAAATTGGCGAACATTTGAATAGAGTAGCTTCGAATCTAATATTAGGGATGTAATTGGCAGATTTTTATCATTCAAGAACTCATTTTTCTGAAAAAAAATAGTTTAGGGACCTAATTTCACTCATGTGGTAATTCAGGGACTATATTGACAACTCACCTAAATTCTAATCAACTAAATTTGGAATTTGCTTCTTTTAGTTTAGGGTTGTTTTGATTTTAATTTCTTACATTGGCCGCACATGAATTACATCTCAGGCCGATGCTATTATATCAAAGTTGCAAAGCATCAATAATCAAGAGAAGGATGCTGACCCGACAATTGTGATTGCGGCAGACACAGTATGCCATTTCTTTATATATATTGTATATACATCTATATGTATGGTATGATCACTCTGTATATCTACAGAAGGCATCTTAAAGTCTGGTACCACCTAGTGCCATTTATGGAGGAGATGTTTCCCTTTTGCTTTTTATTGAGGAAGTGTCATGTTTTACAGTTTTAGACTTTTTTCGAAGGCTTAATTTGGGATTTTGAATAACATAATTGTGCAAGAGTAGTTGAGAAGAAAAGGAAGTACTAATTAATTGTGAAGCTCAACTAAATTCATGTTCATAACTATAGGTCTTTCTTTCTGGTCTGCAATTGTGCCCGTTAATGCTCCCTTTGTTGCAGTTTTTTGTTTACTGCATATTGTTAATAATGTAATGACATTGTCTCAACTGGTTTCTGATGGAAATAGAATTGCTTACCTATCTAAGCTGATGGAAACTTCTCAGGCGGAAGCCATTTCACAAAAGCTCCCAGTTGGGGACTACATAAAAGATGCTGAACCAACGCTATTAGTTACTTCTGATCAAGTATACATCACATCTTATACCATATTTATAGTCTCCATACTCTTGTCATATGTCTGATGCATGTTGCAGGATATACACCAATATGTGTATATGGAAGTTTTACCATACTCCTTTCGCTTCCTCAATATCCTGAAGAGGGTACGGAAGAAAGTAATAAGTATAGTTCAAGTAATGTTTTAAGTCAGTTATGTAACGTTCTAAGGACTGAGAAACTGTTAATCACTTAGCATAACGTCATTCAGACCCGTGTTTGCATTCTACTTGTTTTAGTTTCTTAGGCATGAATTGTGTGCTTTAGCTCTTTCTTCTCCTCGTGTTGATTCTTTATGGAGTCTCTATTATATCTTATGTTGTGGATGCTCCAAACATCAGCTTTTCCGTACGCTTGTTTGTCATCCAAACAAGGAATTTAGAAATTCAGAAAATTTCTAAATTTATGAGTCAGTGAACATTAATGGCCTATGCTGATATGACTTGTTTCTAAAACTAGCAATTTAGAAATTTCCTTTTTATGAGTCAGTGGACATTAAATCTGTTATTTCTTACTCTTATTGTAAAATGATCTGGAGGTGGTGGTCTATGAAGGTGTGATCCGGGAAAAACCATCCAGCAAGGAAGAAGCACGGCAATTTTTGAAAGGTTGGCTTAATGGTTGATTTCAGTCTATGGCCCTGATGTTTGACTTTTTGACTCTGATGAGTTTCCTAACATGAATTGCAGATTATTCTGGAGGGCATGCAGCAACAGTAGGATCTGTGCATGTTACAAACCTTAAAACGGGATTCAGTAAAGGAGAATGGGATCGAGTGGAGGTACCCCTTTTTTTTTCCTTTTATCATGTAGCTTCTGAGACATAAAATTGTTAATTTTCAAGCCCATTATCCTAATTCTACAACTTCATCGGTCAAATCTATGGATAATATCTATTCGGGTCCTTGCAGATTTATTTCCATAAAATACCAGATGAAGTCATCGAGAAGCTGGTAAGAGTTGTTTTGTATCCTACTTGGTTGTTTCACTTCTCTCCTTGATGAGATGACGACAATAGAACCCATTCCTCTGTGTCCATGTCAGATTGAGGAGGGGATAGTGCTCAAAGTTGCCGGGGGACTCATAATCGAACATCCACTGATTCTTCCCTATGTCAAAGAAGTGGTTGGTTTTCTACTCTCTCTTCTAAAGTTGTAAATAATAGTCATTACATTTCGAAAATGCGAGGCAACAGAAGCATGATGGAGTCTATTTATGGTACCGTGTGTCTGTTTCATCCAGGAGCTTTTGTTTAATGAATCCTGCAAGCATAACCCATCGTAGTTCGGATGTTTGATCTACTTATTAGGGATTGTAGAGCCCTGTCTTTATAGTCATACTTGAATTGGTGTGGTGCTTGCAGGTAGGGACAACCGATAGTGTGATGGGACTTCCCATAGATCTCACTAGGAGACTGCTGAAAGAGGCCCTCTAGCTGCAGCTGGAGATTTCCACATTTTTTTACCGGTACTTTATCTAATTGACGCATATTTATGTTTCTTCCGTCGTTAGGCTTCTGATCTCGTATTGTTCAACTTTATACCTACCTGCTATTCGCATCTTATCTGTTGTGAACTATATTTGCTTCCCGAATCAACTTGTAGACAAGTTTATTTATGTTTTGACATAGCTGGACTCGTATAAGCTTCTGCCTTGGTATTACAGACCGATGTGAGTGAGAAAGAGAAATAACAAGGACTGTGTCGGTATCTTAAACCTATCACGCACTACCTTGGGAAATAGTTAAGACATGGTGCAGTGATACCGCCGGCATCCACGGTATATTTCCAAATAGGAATTATTAGTGTCTGTAAGGACCATTTGCAAGGTCTCGTTTTTTAATGGCCTAAATTGCTTTGCGGGCAGTGGACTGCTCTATTTGCAATGACAGATAGATGTCGTGGATTCTTAAATTTGGGTTGCGACCTCTATCTGCATTGATAGATGGAGAGGTCCAGATAAAGCTCCCCCTGTATCCATCCAAACCCAAATAAACCATGTAACGAGTTTTTTTTTTTTTTTTTATTGACATGCAAAATGCAATCTAACACAAGTGTTTTGCAAAGAAAACGAAAAGTGTTTTGCAATCATGTCGTGTTCGGTTTTGTTTGTAAGTAGGAATGACTCTACATGTAGACGTTACGGTAACATGTGATTGTGTAATTTTACGACATAAAGAAACCAGAACCAAAGGGAAATTGAACAATGGAATGATATTCACTCCAGATCTCTGTGTACAGTGTGTACAGCGCCTACGGACTGAGAGATCCAAACCGTTCAAGAGAGAGAGATATGCGGGTTTTTCAAGTTTTTAGATTTTTGTGAAGTAGATAGGTGGAATGGACTAATGGGATTGTATGATTAAATTAAGTAGTCTGAATTTCTCGATTCGGGGTCCGCGGGATCTCAATCCTTGATCAATAAGACACCAACCACAATTGAAATATTTATTTTGTCTAGGTAGAGAGAGTTTTATTAAGCTGGCCGGCCCTAGGAAAAGGAACTTTGTTGGCACTTGGATTATTAGCTTAAGCTTAACAGCCCAATTTATTTTCAATTTAAAACACACATTTTTGTCAACGATAGATGATGCTCATGTTTATCTGAAACAGTTTTGAAATATGCAATTTCACTTACCTAATCCCTTTATAAATAAAATCTCACCTAATCTCTTTCGTCAGGATAAATAACACAATTTTCATAGAATTTAATTAGCATACATGACATTGTCTTATCGATTCAGATGACGTAATGATGTTAGAGGATGTAAGAAAGTTTTATTCCATTGTGATCTCTATAATGCAAGAGCCATTGCTTATCTAAATTTGATTTGAAAAACTTCACCAAAATAAAAAATAAAAAATTGTTTTGAAAAAGGTTACCCAAAGAACTTTGTTTATGAAAGAAATAAAAAAATTAACTTTTATTAAAAATAAAATCTTCGTTTGATTAGTCAAGTCACGGGAATGAAAGATTTTTCAGTGTGGGAGAACATATTCTGCTATTCCAAGTATCATAAAGCAAGTGATTAAATTTTTTGTTAAATATCCAACCACTTGTATAATAACACTTTGTGTACTGAAACGTGTTATTGGTACACTGAAAAATTAATGACCCGAAGCCAGCTATTTATATAGGAAAGGGATCCTCTCTTGATCATTTCCTCCTAATTCATCAAATCAAGAAATCTGTGCCGTTGAAATTTGATCAAACGGCTAAAGTTATTATAAATTTTAAAATGTGCCCATTTTATATTCGTTGAATCAATTCTTTGATTTGATGGATTAAGAAGAAAAGATCCGGAGTCCTTTCCATTTATATATCCCCAGTTTTCCCACATATGACGTAACGGTTATTTAACCGTCAAGGTCAAGCACGCTGTCCCATTTCTCAACTCGTGATCTCATCTCCCACCACAAAAAACCCTCCCCACTCCCTTTAGGAGCTCGGGAATCTCCAACTTCTCCGTCCTCCGCCGTACACCAGCCGCCGCCTCCACCATAATTATATTAATACGGTAATACCCCATTGCCCCACATGGCCCACATCCATTTATAAATACCCCTCTCAAAACGCTCTCTCTCGCTTCCCTCCAAGCACAGAGAGCGACGACCTTTCTCACATACCCCCAGAAGCGGAGCCACCGGCCATGGACCCAGGCGGAGCAACCAATGTCGCCACCGCGCGCGGCGGAGGCGGTGAGGTCGGGGTCCGGATTCACCAAACCCGACGGCTCCCCGATTTCCTCCAGAGTGTTAATCTCAAGTACGTGAAATTAGGGTACCATTACTTGATCTCTAATATCTTAACCCTCTGCTTTATCCCGTTGATTATCGTAACCCTAATCGAAGCCTCCCAAATGGACATTTACGACATTCAACAACTCTGGCTCCACCTCCAGTACAATCTCGTCTCCGTCATAATCTGCTCCGCCGTCCTCGTCTTCGGGTTGACCGTCTACATCGTGACCCGACCCAGACCCGTTTACTTGGTCGATTACGCCTGCTACCGCCCGCCCGATCACCTCAAGGCACCGTACCAGCGCTTCATGGAGCACTCCCGTCTCACGCAGGACTTCGACGATTCGTCGCTCGAGTTCCAGCGCAAGATTCTCGAGCGCTCCGGCCTCGGCGAGGAGACTTATGTCCCGGAGGCGATGCATTACATCCCTCCCCGGCCGTCGATGGCAGCCGCCAGGGAGGAGGCGGAGCAGGTGATGTACGGTGCTCTGGATAATCTGTTTGCCAATACCCATGTGAAGCCAAAGGACATTGGGATTCTCGTTGTGAATTGCAGCTTGTTTAATCCGACGCCGTCGCTTTCAGCCATGATTGTTAATAAGTACAAATTGAGGGGTAATATTAGGAGTTTCAATTTGGGGGGAATGGGTTGTAGTGCTGGGGTTATAGCTGTCGATCTTGCTAAGGACTTGTTGCAAATCCATCGGAATACTTATGCGGTTGTTGTTAGTACTGAGAACATTACTCAGAATTGGTATTTTGGGAATAAGAAGTCTATGTTGATACCCAATTGCTTGTTTCGGGTTGGGGGTTCCGCGGTTTTGCTTTCCAATAAGTCCGTTGATAGGAGGCGGGCTAAGTACAAGCTTGTTCATGTTGTGAGGACCCATCGTGGCGCGGATGATAAAGCTTTTCGTTGTGTTTATCAGGAGCAGGATGATAAGGGGAAGACTGGTGTGTCTTTGTCCAAAGATTTGATGGCAATTGCCGGTGGGGCGCTTAAGACCAACATCACCACTTTGGGACCTATTGTGCTTCCGATAAGCGAGCAGCTTCTTTTCTTTTCATCGCTTGTGGTTAAGAAGCTGTTCAATTCCAATGTCAAGCCTTATATCCCAGATTTCAAGCTGGCATTTGATCATTTTTGCATACACGCCGGGGGAAGGGCTGTGATTGATGAGCTGGAGAAGAACCTGCAGTTGCTGCCTATACATGTTGAGGCCTCTCGGATGACTTTACACCGGTTTGGGAATACTTCTTCGAGCTCCATTTGGTATGAATTGGCGTATATGGAGGCCAAGGGGAGGATCCGCAGGGGCAATCGGATCTGGCAGATTGCCTTTGGAAGTGGTTTTAAATGTAACAGTGCAGTCTGGGAGGCGCTTCGGAATGTGAAGGCATCTCGTAATGGTCCTTGGGAAGACTGCATTGACACGTATCCTGTGAAAGTAGTTTCCTAGCTCAAGAACATCGTTCTGGTTAGACTCTCCATTCAGAGTTATCTGTCATTACTAGCCTAACCACTCTATCTTGCATTTTTCACTTCTTGATCTTGTACTTTATTTGGTTTTTGTTGTGTTAGATACTTGATGTTAAGCTGTGATTTTTCTCTGCTCGATTCTCGCATATGTTCAGTCGTTTGTCCAGGGAAGTTACAATTTGTAGCATTGCTTATTTTTGTATTGAGAATGCTTCCAATTTACCATGTTGGATGTATCTCTATTTATATGTTAGCGTTTAGAGTTTACTTTTTCGATTTAGTTAATTCAGCTTGTATCAGGACCTCTGTCTTCAATAGTCAATAAAATCAATTCATTCAGATGAACATTGTGTCGATGGTACAATTCTGCTTGTGTTACCGCATTATACAAACTCTGCTGATGTTGAACTCTTGGCTGTTGGACTCACAATGTGAAAAAAAAAACCTTAGCGATAACACACAGAGACACATGAACATAACCACTGCTGAATTACACCTACTTTGTATTCAATTACTAGAAGATAGTGGCACTGTTTTCTGCTTATGGGTGAGGAAATTTATAATTTTCCAATGCATATATCATACGTTTTAGCATTTTACGCACTTTGGACGATCTTCATACTCATCTTTGTGCTTGTGATCTAATTAGGTATACTCTTGTATATGCTATATTGATATGGTTCACAAACTTTGCTCCAACTACTAGAGGAAGAGAGTTCATGACGATAAATTGAGTAGGTTTATTTCTGGTGTTCGTATCTATATCTGTAACCAGTGAGGTTTTAAATCTCAGTAGCTAGAATATAAGATAGTGCATTCGTTCTTGCCTTCTGAATTTCAACGACGAAATTCTAGAACGGACCAAGAATCCATGGCCGCGGGATCCTTAGCGAAAGATCCAAAGGCCATAGATCCTGGTTCATGCTATGGGTAGGTTCATACTGGACAAAAACTCTACTTTCAAAGTTAGATTGACTTTGTGAGGATGGCATTAGCTGTTGTTTTGCATATTATGTGTGGTGCAAGTCTATGTTGGTTGCATTTATTGACTATTAGATATTTTATGCCCTTATATCCCGAAAAGTGGGCAACTGTTGCACATGCTTTTACCTAATTTCAACTCTTCAAATACCCATTTTCAAATAAATTTCGAATCTTTACTTTCAAAATAGAGATAAGGAGACATGGATATTGGAAGGAGCGTGAGTGTGCAGAGGCTGCACATGCCCTAGATTTTTCTCGTAGACACAGATCTCGAAATTTAAATTCATTTAACGATGAATTAGTTTGGAAAGATACAGATTTTAGAGTCTATTTAAATTGTTTTGTGAACTACACTATTTTATCAGGATCTCTTATCCCTAAAGCGTGACATTGCAGTGGTATTTTAAATTAGTAATGCAGTGTCATGTGAGAAAGTTGGGAAGCA